CTCTTCGCAGTCGCATTTGTGCAACAGTCCTCGGATAAAAAAAGAAAAAATAAATTTCACTGATTGACTCTTGTATAACGAAATTTCATTTCGAATACAACCAGGTCTAAGGTTCTCTTTCGTCACGATTCAATGAAAGCACTTGATGCGCATTTCATTTGCGAAGAAGTATCTTCAAATGAAATAAGAAAAAGTAGAATCTAATTAATTTTGTTAATGTCATAATCGAGTTTCACCGTGAATAATTATACGTTCCTGTTCGTTACGATTCAACGATATTTGTCCAGTTGACGTTTCCGTGCGCAAATTGCACGCTATTTCCAGCAACACAGAGCTCACTATCACTCCAAATCATCATACCAAAGAAAATTAGAGATCTGTATAAAATATCGAATACCAAAATGAATAATGTGCATATAGTTTAAACATACTCATTTGAATAAAATACGTTTTTTAGACAATAATTGAGTGATTGTGAGCATGCGCTATCCAAGAATAATTCCGACCACCGTGGCTCTGCAAAGAGTTAAAATGATTGAAATTAAGATAATATTTAATGTTCATAAATCGATTAAATTTTTGTTTTTAAAGAAAATTAATTTGTAAACTTGTATAATTGCGTCTTCTTAATTAGACCATAAGCTGTATACTCTATTTAATTTACATATAAAAAAGCGTATGTGAAAATTTACAAATTCTACTCAAGATTTAATGGTTTCGAAATTAAAAAGCATAATGAATCTTACTATGATTAATTTGCAGTCTACACGTATTTCAAAACTGACGCCTCTAATTATTTATTCATATCTTTTTAATTTACGAATTATTTAGATTTCGGATGTATGTCTTTAGTCTGTTACAGACTATGGCTGTATATTCTGAACCGTCTGATGCAGCGTCTTATCTCTGTACTTTTCATAGGAAGTCTCTTATTTCTTTGATCTGATTGCTCGCATTCGTGCACGATGACTGCAGTCTTGCCTAAATCTTTCGAAGCGGCGCATTCCTATTATTTCTATAATTTATTTATCTCTAGATTTACTACAGTATCATTTGTTATTATTTATGTATTAGTTATGTATTAGTTATGTTATTTGTTATACATCATGGGTTATTATTTATAAAAGTCTAAGAGCTAAATAGTGTCTAAGCATACATTTTGTGACAGCAGCAGTGATGATATTTATAGCGAATCAAGTGTCATCTACTATGCAAATACTATACAAATATAGCGGAAATGAAATACAGCAGGCTATAAAAAAAAAAGATTTTTTGGGGTAAATGCATAAAATGCATACATATCGTATGCAAGTAAAATTACCAAAAAGTAAACAAATCGATCATTGTCGACAAGGAACCGTAAGGGATTGATATTTTTATAGTTACTGTTAATGAATATACTAAATTAGTCGTCGCCGACTATTTTTTAGTGATGAAAATGCATTTATATGCTTACCTAAATGTAAAATAGATTTTTAATCTTGAATCTCCTAAGGTTGCATATTTTTTTCAATGTAAAACAAGTCCATATTCGTTCCTACTTAAAATACAAATAGGTTTGCAGAGTTCTATAAAATATTCAAATTCTTTGATCTTGAATTTCTTTCTTTTTTTTTTCTTTCTGCATTATTAAAGATTATAAGATCTTTAAAAATTTCAAAATCAGCAAATCTATTATCGAATTCTTCAACTATTAGCATTGATAATAAATCTTTAAAATTTTGCGTCCTGATGCTCTTCGATAATTTCTTTGTATGCAGGAAAACAGCTACTTCCAATTCAGCAATAAATAATTTAATAAGTCTGATTCACTGCTTGCAATTTTGAATTTGAACAATTCAAGTGTCCCAGTTATATCGGTTAAACATGCCGGTTTGAAGTCTTCAGATTTCTTCGTTATATGTATTTCAGTCTTTGTTTCTATTTATAAAAAAGAATTTTTTGTTTTAAAACAAAAATCCGCTCTAGAATTACCCTTGCTCTTTGCATCACCTGCTCATTTGCAATTCATTCTGTAATATCATTCCACTATAGGCAGCATTAAAGGAAATATTTAATAGATCTTTGTTAGATTTATTAATTTTGTTAGAACATTTAATAGATCCTATGTAATAGGTATTTACATAGGTGTTTTTTCCTCGAATTAAATTTGTAATTTTCGTTATATTTTCATTCCACGTAATGCCTCCTGATAAACAATACGATGAAATGTAGAGCAA